ATTTGAAATCTGACAAATAAATAAAATCAGAGGTTGTTCAGAGCTGCTCGAGCACAGTCAGGTGTGTTCTTCCTGTTTGTATGCTCGCACACCCTGACCCGCTCTGTGTCGGCCTGGTGTTGGAAACTGCTGCTGCCCTTTAAAGAAGCTGCTCTGTTCATAAACTTGTGGTCGGTCAGTGGGAACAGCGAGGCACGGCTGCTGCAGGAGGACACTCGGTATTCAGGAGTCCTCTAAAGATCAGGAGGACTGTTTTTCACTCCTAATCTTCTTGACAAGCTGGTTTGTTAGTCCAACCTGCAGTCCTGCAGGTACAGGTGAGGTGGGATGACCCTCGACCCCTTCTCACAGCTGGGGTTACTCTGGAGACCTCCAGCTGTGGTGCATCTGTTTGCACCTGCGGTGTTTCTTTAGGAGATGTGGCTGCAGGGTAACAAAGTAAGCCAAAGCTGCAGTTCCTCTAACGTCCACCAGAGGCAGCAGTGAGTCAGCCCCCGCAGGCTCTCGTGTTAAATCTTTAAGGCAGAAATAAACATGTTTGCAGCCTGATGTTTAAGTTTAAGGCTTAAAATATGGACGTCTGTTCGCGCTGTTACTGTCACCTTTCATAGCTCAGCTAAACGTTACCGTAGCCTCTCGATCTACAGCAGTTTGGGTTCAGCTACCGTTCAGTCGTTTTAGAGAGCTGTTGGTCGTCTCGTACAGATCAGCTGAGATCAGCCACGTTAACCTCGTGGCTGCTGTCGCTCCCTCAGAAGCTCTCGCTGACCTCGTGTCCTGTCTCCGGCTCAGGTACCTACAGGAGGTCGGATACACGGACACCATCCTGGATGTGAAGTCTCAGAGGGTGAGGGCGCTGCTCGGTCTTGCCGGAGACACGGGAGACAAACCGTCAGACAAGAAAACTGAGCCGATGGTCAACGGCACCGAGCCGTCCTCACTGAAGGACAGCGGCATGGTCAGGTACGACGCCAGGAGGTGAAATAAAAACGCCACACAGCAAAGCGTGCGTCGTTACAAAACCCCGTTTCTCCCGCAGTAAGCCCGACGTGTCCGACTCGGCCACCGTGCTGGAGGCCTTCAAGTTCATCGAGAGCGCCGCAGCAGAGTTCAGCGACGAGGACGAGGACGAGGACAGCGAGGGGAGGGACAAAACCATCCTGGACCTGGCTGCAGTAAGAGGCTGACACACTCCCGTCATTTCACTTTTTCTTAATGTATGAGATTATTTTCACTCTCTGTAACTGTGGATGAAAGTGTGCATTCCCAGTTTCCACAGGGTCTCTGTGTGGCTGTGCCTGCAGACCCCGATGAAGCCCGCTCACTGTGAGGAACGTGTTCCTGTGTGCTGACTGCTTCGTCTGTAACGGAGAGCACAGGAATGTCATTAGGCTGTTCCTCATCTTACAAACGCGAGTAAACCACAGCTTTCAGTCTGTAAAAATCTGGAAACGACACGTTTATGTTTTTCATGTCCAAACTGAGACCACGTGTGATTTTTAAGTTATAATATTGTCGTCATAAGAAGCATTTATGGAGCTCGTGTGGGTGCTGCAGGTGCTGCCCAGCCTGGAACTCCATCATCTCCACCATCATTGCTTGGGCTGCATATCTGCGAGCGCTCGCCTTCAGAGTAAAAGCTGAGCCTGTTGAAACGTGTGTGCTTCAGCAGTAAGACAAGGCTTTTACTTTGAAGGCGAATGTCCTCAAATGGCAAATATTTACAGATTCGTCGGTGTCTTCTGGAGCAGGACGGTTTCCTCCTTGTAGCCACTTTGACGCGCCGACTGACAGCAGTCACGTTTCTCCCGCTGCGTGACCTCCGGGCACGTGTAAAACTTAAAACCTGTAAACATCAGCTATAAAAACGTGGCTTTACCTTTGCACAGATGGTGAGAAAGAAACACTCGTCAACGCCGTCTTCCACGACCTCTGACCTCAGCGATGACCTGGACACGGAGGAGGCGCTGAAGGGTTTTGATTTCTTGGCGAGTCCAGACGAGCTGGACGGATCGCCCGAGTCAAGGAGCGGGGATGACAGCGGCGAGTGGGGTGAGTCGCCCGATGGGTTTCAGAGCATCAGAACGTTAGCGAGTGAAGCTTTAACCACAGTGGTAAAAGACGACTCCGGAGTTCAGAGCGTGAATGCAGGAGGACCCGCAGTCGCGCCCTGTGGAACTCCAGTTTCCTGTCTACAGCGACCTGCAGGTCACTGGCAGATTTGAGGCAAACTTGACCTTTAGAAACTTTTCTTAATGTTAATAAGTTGGAGGAGTGAGGTTAGAAAGAGCAAACAGGAAGTGTCTTTGTTTTGTCAAGCATCCGTGCAGCACCTGTGAAAGCTGTGAGTTTAATTCTGATCGTTTTTAAACGAGTTTGTAATAAAGTTACGTTTCAGCTCTTTTTTGCAGACGTCTTTTTCGTGAAGGTAAAACAAACCGAAGCTCGTCCTGACCCGCCGTCCTCTGTGTTTACATAAAGAAACCCTTTTTCTGCTGTTGCTTAGCAACCGGTCCAGTGTCATTCGGCCAATGACGGAGAGCTCCCCACGCGCTCGGTGATTCAACACTCGAGTCGAGATAGTAAAGGAGCGCTGACTCAGTGCAGCGGGTCTCACTGTGTGCTCACGGCGTGAAAGGCCGCAGCGCCGAGCTTCGTCTCCGCTTTAACGCCGTTTCCATCTTGAAGTGCGGTCTGTGACGCTGCCTCCGCCTTCACACTGAGATATTACAGCAGCCGAGCGCAGATAAAACCCGTTTGGCTGCTCGGTTATGATGGAGCTGCCCGTCTCAGCTCCATCGTCCTCTCACCTTTCATTCAGCTCGCCGTTACCATGGCAGCTTCCGTCACTGCACGCTTATCTGTGGAGCCCGGTGTGCCCTTTGACCTTGTACAGATAATGCTTGTCCCCATCAGACTGCTTCTACACCTGTGGAACTGCGCCCCCTACAGCGGAGGAGAGGCAGAGTCTGAACAGCCGGTTTACTGTTTAAAATGTAGAAGCTCATGAACAGAAGAAGGTGAATAACTGCAGGATTAACAGGAAACAGAATAAACTGACTGCGTCTCGACTCTCATGGTTTTTTACAGAAAGCATCCTTTGTCTCATGACTTGAGCGTGAAAAACACCTTTAAGCTGTTCAGACGGCGCAGATCAACTCGCTGCATCACGATGTGAATGTTTGATTTCTCTGATGATTCACTGGAGGAAATGTGAAAAAAGCGCGTTCACGCTTTCAGCTTCACGTGGGACGAAGCGTCCAGCTGATTCCTTCTGGGTCTGAGTGTTTTCTGCGAGGGACAAAAACATCGTTAATCCTGGACCCGCTCGTACAGACACAGATTCAGCACATTTTTAAAGTTGATGTAAGACGGTGAGCAGATTCTGTGAGGTCGCCTTCGTCTTTGGTTGAGGTTATCTGGGATGAATGGTACAGGAGGAATCTTTGCATCCTTCTCGCCTGTAGGAGGCGCTCAACTCGCTGCCTCTGCAGCCGTCGTCGTGTTTCCGCGGGACGCGGTTAGCCGAGGTTTCACAGGAGGGAGGGACCGCTGGCCTGGCTCTGCACACGTGTGTAAAGCACAGGGGGCGCCGTAGAGCGAGGTCAGCTGGCAGATGAAAGCGACAGCGTAGCTGGGCTACCCCCGTCTGTCTGAGGTTCCTCGCTCGTCATCACGTCTCCCTCAGGGATGGATTTGAACTGTACTGCATCCAGACACTCACAACATGTTTCTGCCTCCCCTCCCTCCCTTCTCCTCCCTCCCCTCCTCCCCGCCTCCTCCCCTCCGTCCTGTAGAGAAGGAAGAGCAGTCTCCTCTGGGTGAAATGGCCTGGGATGTGGACCAGGGGCTGATAGCCCAGCTCAAGGAGCAGTACAGGAAGGAACGCAAGGGCAAGAAGGGGGTGAAGAGTAAGTCGTGCTGCAGGCCTGTGCTTCATCCTCCCTCCTCACCCTCTTTACCTTTTGTTCCCCTCACCCTCTTCCTGTAATAATAAACTATTTATTCTCTTTTCCACCTCTAAGTTTTCCCTCCTCACATCGCCTCAGTCCCATCACTGGTCCTCTGTGTGTCACATGTTAGATGGCAGCTTTGTTATTTGGGAAATCTCATTGGAGGATTCGCCTCCACCCTCTGTTTGGTTTATGAATGAAGCTGTCGTAGCATCCAACCGTTTCAAGGGTCAGTTAGGAGGCTGTATACAAAAGATGAACAGTCGAGGGACGACAGTTAGCTGAGGTGAAGTCTAGCAGACAGCTAGCAGCTGCAGGTGACAGTCAAAGAGGCCACGCCCCTCATAATGCAAACTTTAAATGAGTTATCAGGTTACAGAGAGATCAAACAGTTTGTGTATCAGGCTGTAAACACGTTTGTTTCTGCTGTAAAGTTTGAACACGAGTCTGTGGGGACTGACTCACTGCTGCCTCTGCTGCATGTTAGAGGAACTGCAGTCACTGAGGCGTGGCGCTCTGGTTGTGCTGGAGCGTAAGACGGTGGAGTGGAAGGTTGTAAGACCTGAGCCGCTTTAATGCTCACGCCGTCCAGATGTGCAGATACCACAGTGTCCTCCTTCACAGCTGGACCATCAGTGTGCTTTTCAAACTGAGATGATTTGTAGGAAACTTTATTGCGCTGTGGAAACTGCGCCCTGGTTTGCGTCAGGTTATGTTCTTTGGGTTATCTTCAGGTTTTTTTACTTCCTGTTGGTTTCCGTCCGTGCTCGTGTTGCGATGGCAGCGACTCATCTGCATCGTGTCGCCGTCTGTCCGGCAGGTTTCTGTCCTTCCTGCTCTTCGCTCGTCTTCTTTGTTTCTCTGCTTTTGTTTGCCATCGATGCCTCGCAGAGCCGCTGCCGCTCCTTCTTTCCATCTTCACGTTTCACGTTTTATTTTTCATCTCTCCCTCCAAACGTCGTTGTTCTCCCGCCTTCATCAGGCTTCCTGTCCCCTCCTCATCCTCTCTCGTCTCTCTTCTTCCTCCTGCAGGACCAAACCGGTCTAAGCTGCAGGACATGCTGGCTAACCTGCGGGACGCCGAGGACCTGCCCTCCATGCAGCCGGCCGTGACGCCCCCCTCTCGGTCGAGCGTGCCCAGGCTGAACGAGCACGAAGTCGGACGCCCCGATGATGGTAGCCCTCCCTCCGTCTCGGCTCAGCGGTCATGTGTGAGTGACGTGAATGTTCAAACGTTTCCTGTTTCCGTCCTGCAGAGGCGATGACGTTCCTGCCGTCGTCGGGGAAGTCGTTCATTCTGGGCAGAGTGGACGAGGCGGTTTCTAACGAGCTCGGATTGGGAGAGCTGGCCGGACTGACCGTCGCTAACGAGGCCGAGGGCCTGATGTACGACGTGAGTAACGTTAACCTGTCACAGGCTGCTTCAGGCCACGCCCCCTCGTGGACATAATCCCAGAAAGAAAAGATGAAGAGCAGCGAGTAAAACCTGATTCCACTCGTGGTTTGTTTTGTTTTGAATATTCAAGGAGTGTTTCCACAGTGCTCCTGCACCCTGACATAGAGCTCCGCCCCCACAGCTGATTCTAACCTATCAGAGAGCTTAATGAGAGCTTTTCCCTCCCTCAGATCGCCAACAACAAAGATGCACTGAGGAAGACGTGGAACCCGAAGTTTACCCTGCGGAGCCACTTTGACTCGGTGCGCAGTCTGGCCTTCCACCCGGTGGAGCCGGTTCTGGTCACCGCCTCCGAGGATCACACCCTCAAACTGTGGAACCTCCAGAAGACGGCGCCCGCCAAGAAGTGAGACTCCACGTTTTGCCATCACACACGTATTCTCTGAAACAGGGCAGGGACAGCTCAGTAGGCAGAGTGGTTGTGTAGAGTGGCCCCATGATCGGAAGGTCATGGGGTCGAACGGCGGCGGTCCCCCTGAGCGAGATACCGCCCCTGAAGTTGAAAACGCTCTGAGAGGGACTGCTGGCCTGGCTCGTGGATCCAAATGTAGACTCTGCTAACGTAGCTTTGCATGATTCCTCAAAAGAATCCTCCTCTGATTATGATCCTGAGCCTCGGTTTATCCCCTCTGTGAAACAAGTCGTTGTAGCTCCTCTCCCTTTAACCCTTTAAGACCTGACATAGAACCAAGTCCGCCAGAGCTTATATTATATGTTTACCTGCTGTGGAGCCATTTTTTGGAGCATTTCAAGCTGCTATACATCAATACAACCATTACAGCCCAAATTGTAATAATATGTCTGCATTAGGTGCATAGTAATTACATAAATTGCAAAAAAGTGCAATAAACTACAAAAAAATTGAAAATCTTTTTGTTTTTTTAACATATATTTCTAGTTAGAGAAATTTAAGAGGCTTATCCCTCAAAACTGTAAATACAAAAAAGTTTCACAAACTAGTTTTTGAGTGTCTTCATAATTTTATTTTTGAAATACACAAATTTTTATACACTGCAGGAAAAACAAAAATAAATATTATAATGCAAATTTGCAAAAAAGCAGCATATGCATCAAAATAAACTATTTCCAGCAGTGCAATATGAGTCCTCAGCATCCCAGAAACGACACAAAGTCATAAAGCCAAACATAACTTTTAAAAACACCAGTATAGGCTCATAAGGCCCTGATGGTAAAAAACTACATTTCCGCAAAATGACATCACTTCCGGTTTCGGGCAGGTCATGGCGGTCATGTGATAGTTCGCGCTGATAGACGTAGGAAGTGTTACAAACAGCTGATCGATCGGCAAAGCGTGTTTCTGGAATATTATGTTTTTGTTGCTACAAGTGCTTTTATGCAGTTTTTGCAAAGCTATATGTGGAAGGAAACCGTGACCGAGGACAAGCTGATGGCATCAGATGTAAGTACAACTCCTCCGGTTTCATATGCAAAAATTTTTTTATTGCGCTAGCTTACATGGTTGCAGAGCTACTGGGATTTAAAAATAGTTACGCAAAATGGAGCGTGTCCGCTCCGACCGGCTCTAAAGGGTTAAGCAAACTTTCCTCTGATTGGCTGCCCCTCACAAACAGGTTTAAACTGCAGTTGGGCGGGGCTTCTGTGGCATCGTGCAGTCTGCAGCCTGAGCTGATGTTACAGGACAAACGAACACGGCTTTTAGAAGCCGGCGGTCTCACTCCTCTGCTTCGGTCCTCAGGTGCGCGGCGTTGGATGTGGAGCCCATCTACACATTCCGAGCCCACAGGTGAGCGTGGGAGCGTTCCCAGCACCGCCCACCTTCAGCCCGACTCCGTTCATGCGGTCATAAAACCAACGTAAGTGTCTGTCATTCTGATTTCGTCCTGTAGCGGAGCCGTGTTGTGCGTCACCATGAGCTCGAGCGGCGAGCAGTGCTTCAGCGGGGGCGTAGACGGCACCATTCAGAGCTGGAACACCCCCAACCCCAACATCGACCCCTACGACTCGTATGGTACGACCCGGCTCCTCCCAGCACACGCCTTCGTCGTGCTCTGTGTTCACATCTTCACGTGAGGATTTGCTCTCGTTTCCTCTGCAGAGCCGTCCGTCCTGCGGGGGGCGCTGTGCGGTCACACGGACGCGGTGTGGGGTGTGGTCTACAGCTCGGCTCACCGCCGCCTCCTCTCCTGCTCGGCCGACGGGACGGTGCGGCTGTGGAGCGCCGCCGACACCTCGCCGTCTCTCGCTGTTTTCAACGAGCGAGGAGGTAAGAGAACATCTGTGAGAACATCTGCACCGCAGCTTCAAGGAGGCGCAGTTTTATGTCCCTTTAGTTACTCCTCGAGGAGGAGGAGCTTAAGTGGCGCTGTGCTGAGTCTCTGCCTCTCTCTCAGAGCTCGGAGTCCCGACCTCGGTCGACCTGGTGAGCAGCGAGCCGGCTCACATGGTGACGTCCTTCGACACCGGACACATCGGACTCTTCAACATGGAGACGCAGCAGCTCGTCCTGAAGCTGGAGTCGGCCGGTCCTCCAGGTACGACCACGAGCTCGGCGAGTATTTACAACCCGAGAACAAAGAGCGTGAATAAAAACAGACATTTTACTCACGACAGAAACACGTCACATGTTCAAACTGAGGAAACGAACCGTCCGCGTGAGTCTGTTTATCCCCGATCATGTGACCGACCTGCTGACACCCGATCAGCTGCTGAGGGCTCCTCCGGCCGTCTCTTTCTAAAAATGTCTCCGCTCCGTTTTCTTTGTTCTGCTGTGAGTAAAATCTGAGTTTACGACGTTTGTTTTGCTCTGCGTCCCAACGGCGTTTGCAGAGCTCCGCCTCTAAATCACGTTCACCAATGAGCAGGATGAAGCAGGCTTCAGATGTGTCGACGAGAAGTTCGCAGAGACTTTCGTTTGTGCGTCTGCCAGTTAATTCTGCTGCCGTTTCGAAGCGTCGTCGGTGTCACGGCGCCGTCCGCAGGCCGAGCTGATGCTCTGACGCTTACACGTATTTACTGCTAATGTTCTCCTTCCTCCTCACGCCCGCCTCCACGCAGAAGCTCCCTGCAAGATCAACAAAGTGCTGAGCCATCCCACGCTGCCGATCACTATCACCGCTCAGGAGGACCGCCACATCCAGTTCTTCGATAACAACACAGGTACGCTGTGACGTGTCCTCAGCTTCGCTTCTTTCGTTGCCTCGCAGATCAAATTTAAACTTTAACCGTGTTTCAAACTGAAGGTAAGCTCATCCACGCCATGGTCGCCCACCTGGACGCTGTCACCAGTCTCGCTGTGGATCCAAACGGCCTTTACCTCATGTCAGGAAGTAAGTATCCGAGCGCACGCCAGCTGGCACATCCCATAATATTATCAGACTTTATAAAGAGCCTACGGGTACTTCCTGTATTTATTATTTTCACTCTAAGAGCTCTGGAGTAAAACGCGCTGTTCTCACAGCCGAGCCAATCGCAGCATCAGGAAACCAGGAAGTGTCCGTTTATGATGAAAAACACAAACGTATCCATGTAACAACAATAACAATCGTTTGTTTGTCCTGTAACGGCCTCCATCTTTATTTACAGTGCTGCTCTGTGCTGATTGGCTGTCTCTCTTCCCGTCAGGTCACGACTGCTCGATCCGTCTGTGGAACATGGAGAGTAAAACCTGCATCCAGGAGTTCACAGCACATCGTAAGAAGTTCGAGGAGTCCATCCACGACGTGGCGTTCCATCCCACCAAGTGCTACATCGGCAGCGCCGGGGCCGACGCGCTCGCCAAAGTCTTCGTATGACCTGAATGTGGTCAGCTGACCGCCCCAACGTTCTCGGTGGGGTTCTTATTTTTGGACAGATGGAGGTCGCTTCCTCTGCAGAAGGTGACCCCACTCAATCCCCCCCACGCCCCCCCCTTTAAGATTCTTCTCATGTTAAGCCCCGCCCCCTGCTGGACTCGGGCTGGCCTGGATCCACAAAACAAACTGACCTCTGAGTGAGGGGAAGAAGTTATCACGCGGTAGGCCGCGGCGTGCGTTCTCCCTCGAACAGCTCCGGGCTCGCCGCAGACGTCTCATCGTAATGTGCCTTCTTTCTGTCGGACGCTCAGAAGAAACCCGAGACGCCGGAGACGAGTCGGGACGGGGAGGTGATGGCGGCCAAGTTTAACCTTCACACGACCTCCGTTTGTTAGTCTGTCCGTCCTGAGCTGAGCGGCGGCGAGGACAGTCCTGGATCTGTCCCCGCCTTTAATGTGCTCCACCTGAGCCACGCCCACGCCCACACAGGCAGGAACTTTGGCCAATCACGGTCGCCGTCCCTAGTTGGGTCCATCAGGTTCTCGTCCCTGCTGTTGGCGATGACTGGCGCTCGGTGGGAAGCAACATTAAAGAGAATCGGCGCCTGATTGGCTCCAGCCCCAAACATCCGAACATGAAGGTCCTCACTGGAGAGGGCGGGGTTAACCTGAGAGGGCGCCACCTGCTGGGACTGAGCAGTAATCCTTCACTGGACAACAGAGGCCGTTTGGCTGCACCTGAGCTCTGATGGGGTTTCTTTGGCTCCTCCTCCTCAGAGACGCTGCTCATCGATCTCTGATCCGCTGAGCGCTCTGTTCCAAACCCTGAGCAGCGCTAACAGGGACTTTTTGGGAAACCTCACCTGGAAGGTTCTCCTCACTCACTCACGGGTTGTAAGATATATGGCTGCTTTTGTGGGCGTGACCCTGCGGCGACGCTGTTCTCCCCAGAAATCAGACGGATCGGCCCGGACGCCTCCGACTCATCCCGACGCCTGCTGTTGCCAATGCTAATTACCTTCTTGTAACATACCTGAGTAACACCTGTGCTGCGCCCGCAGATCTGCTTTCCAGCTCGGTTTGTGCGCCGTGAGGCGGATCTTTTTTATTCTGTTTTACTTGAACGTGTCGTTTCTTCTTTTCGGGGTTTCTGCTGATGTTTTAACGACTTCTGTGTTTTTTAACCAAACGCATCGTCTCAGAAAGCAGCTGCTTCCCATCGTGGTGTGAAACGGTCGGCGTGTACAAAGACTTAACAGATATATGTGTGTACAGTTTTAGGTATTAAAGCAAATCTATTTATTAACTGGTGTAAAGAGTGTATTTAGGGCGTTTTCAACGGGTCGGTGAGCAGAAAGTTCAAAGGTTGAGTGTTTCCTGTAAACTCGTGTGGAACATGAATGCAGTCTGTACAGAGACGTGAACGCTTCCTGTAAAAGCTTTTTATCCACGACTTTCACCTTTACCTGCACGCGTCTGTGTTCGAGGCTGTTTTCAAAAGTTTTGTCCGCGATACGAGCGGGCAACTTCCTGTTTGGTTTCCAAAGTAAGGGCATATCCACACAGTTGGCTGATTTCTGCATTAAAATGAATCAATTCAATTCGTTTTTGTTTTTTTCTTCCATAAAAGGAAGTTGTGGACGTTTTCAATCCTCACTGCCTCATCCCGTTAAACAAAAACAACTCATCGGTTTGACAGATTGTAGAGCGTCTGCGTCGTGTAGTCGTGTGTCGAAGATAACAAACGTTTGATGGTTTTCAGCTTCTTAAATGTCTCAGTCTTTTCTCAGTGACGACAGCACAGCTTTAGATTGAACACGTGTGATGGCAGCTTTTATTTTTATGTTGCAAAGTTGCCAAAAACATTCATAGTTTGTTGAAAATGATGTTCAGCTGCCTGCTGAGAGCAACATGGAGTCAGCGCTGAGTTCCTAAATGGTTCAGAAGTTTAAAGATTTGTACTAATCTGCACAGACGCCGCTCGCTCACTTATGAAGCTTCTGTTGCCCAAAATTAGTTTCAGTTTGTCGTCAGTCTTTCATACGTCTTCATCTGGATGAACTGAAGACTTTCAGCTTCACTGAGTGTAACTGATTAAATTTGCTCTCCTTCTTGTTCTGTTCTGCCGGGTTTTCTCTCAGCGCTGACAGAAACCTGCAGAGCAAAACAAGCAGACTCACACTGGAGCACATTTATGATATTTCTAAGTCTGGTGGAGCAACAACAGGTTTCAGAGTGTGAGTTTTGACAAAGTGCACAAAATGTATTTATTTTAATTTGCTTCCATCATATCTTTAGTTTATTTTAAAGCTGAATAAAAATGAATCCTGACTCCTTTAACAGAGGCCAACATGTCCTCCTGTAACCACGTCTCATTGCTTCCTCTTTGGTGATAAACTCAGGGACGCGGCTCCGTCTCTGTGCAGTGTTTGCAGATGAAATCTTCTGTGAGCTGAACTCCAGACTGAATCCTGCCTGTAAACTGTGGATGTGTTTTGTTGTGAAACTGCAGGAGGGACGACGGGAGCTGCTCGGGCTGTACATACAGTTCACACACTGTGTTTTGGCTTTTTTGTGTCTTTTTGCCTTCAGAGTGGGAGAGTGACAGATTTATCAGTAACAATAAAGAAATATGTTGTATATCATCCTGCGTGGTTTCATTGTTGTTTTCTAAGTGTTGACGGGAACGAGAGACGGAAAAACAACACTCTGAAGTCGGTCAGTTTAGTTTCTCTCAGATTATCACATAGGTTTGGTTTTTTTAAAGATTTTCTGCTATCTTATTGGTTGATTTCTTGTTTATCTAAGTCTCGACCACTATAATTATTATTGACCAGACTCTGTAGTTAGACTGGCTATCAATTATTTTTATTATTTTATGTAATAAATATTAACAGTTTTAAGCTGCTTGTTGAAGGTTTAGAAACCAGGTTTTTAAGCAGCGCTGGTCCGCCAGGTGGCGCTGATTGGCCTTCAGGCTGGATTCCCAAACGGAAACGAAGAAGCCTCTGTGTGGCGCTGCTGCGCTCTGATTGGCTGACAGGCCTGCGGCTCCTGCAGGGAAACGAGCTGCTCCGCTAAACGCACAAAAAAAGCAACACACCGTGTTTTATGAGGAGGAAATAATTGAAAGCACATCTGTGCGGCTTTACGGTGAGTGTTAACGCACCGATTTAACAAACGGCTGAAGTTTAGAAGCGAAATGAACTTTTTAAAGTGGCAAATAACTCAGTTAGCTTAGCATAAACCTGCTAACAAACGGAACACGTTTATAAGATGAGTTTTTATTTTGGACTCCGGGGTCGGGCTGCCTGCTCACACCGGTTCGGGGTTTTACTGCTGCAGATTTGTCATTTGTTGTCGCTTTTATTGAAACACTTGGTGAAAGTATCGAGATGTGTTTGGCTGTGCTAATGTTAGCTCCGCGCAGCTAAAATCCTGCGGGTTTTAAGCAGACTCTGGTTTCTCCTCCCAGCGCTCCTCTTCTCCTCTCCGGCCTCCAGTGGCACCGGCTCCCCGGGCTGCCATGAGCGGGTTCGCGGTCTGACTGCAGGACGATGGCTGCGGAGCTGTTTCCCACCAAGAAGCTGGTCCCGGCCGCCTCCGTGCAGCAGTACCAGCAGCAGAACCTCACCAACAACAACACCAGCATCACCAGCTGTAACTGGCAGGGCCTGTACCCCACCATCAGAGAGAGGTGGGTGTGTGGAGGAGGCCGAGATCCAGCACTAGAGAGAAAGGATTAAAATTCTCTCCGAAAAAGCCAGCAGCGGAATTTAAAAAGCAAAAGACTTTTTAAAATTTACTTTAAAATGCTCGGCTGCAAGAATGTGAGAGCCCCGAGAACGGGTCCTGGATGTTTAGTTCACCCTCAATCATCATGCAGCTTTCTCAGACACACATCCAGCATTTCTGTATTTGAAAGATGAGTTTGCAGGTCTGACAGGTTGCTCCTGCTTTGGTGTCTTTTCATTAAGCAAACCCTCAAAACTGCTGTGTTCTTATAGGAATTCAGTCATGTTCAACAATGAGATGATGGCAGATGTTCACTTTGTCGTGGGACCACCGGGGGGGACGCAGCGGGTGCCCGGACACAAGGTAACGCAAACACTCGACAGTTTCAGAGCACAGAAGATTCTGCTCAGCACTCACAACCAGCTCGCTCCTCAGGCAGCTTTATCAACTCTAATGCTTTCAGCTGAGTCTCTGCAAACGTTAGGACATCACCGCCTGAAGGTCAGAAATACAGTGAGGAGCACAGACTGGTCTCAGTAAGATCTCAGAGCAGGCTGAATAAGGACATCTGTGGTCACATGATTCTAGCTAAAGACTCAGCTGATTTCTGAATACTGGAGCGATCAGTAGTTAATGAAAGGCTGTCGCGGTTTAGCAGAAACCATGTTCGCATGGAGCTGACTATAAAACCAGAATATCACAGCAACACAATAACAACAAACAGCTTCAAGGAGGTTCGGGAAAGAATGGCTGCAAAAGAAGACAAAATATTCATTCACAAATGTCCAGACCATATGAAAAAACAAGTCCTTTAACATGCGTTGGGTCATTAACCCACTGAACCAGGTTAAGAGTCCGTTAAAGCGAGGAAGTCTTTAGCAAAGGGGTCATCCTTACAGCAACTGTGTATGATAAAATCACCGACAATGAGAACACAACTAAATTTAAAAAGAACCGAACCTAGGAGATCAGCAAAGTCCGTGATAAAACATTTGCTATATTTAGGCAGTCGGTAAACCACCACGCAGAGTCATCTCCGAGGCTACGCCGCCACTCCTACCAGTAATCCTTGGTGAGCTAAAAGCGACACAATCCGATGGAAGAAGATCGGAAAAAAGGATGAGCTCACCAGGACAAATCCAGGTTTCAGTCAGGAATAAAGCATCAATCCCGTTAGTGGAGAGGAAGTCGTTTAAGAGAAAGGTCTTATTGACCAGCGACCTGACATTGAGCAATGCCATCCGTATCCTAGGGGCTAAATCGCCACGGGTGGTGCGTCGTAGGACACTTAGGTTGCTTCAGCAAAATCCGCGTTGGAGCGATGTTATCCAAACCCCAGCAGGAAAACATGCCACAGGAAGGGAAGGGTAAGCTTCATGGTCAGCCGAGCAGATCGAACGGTGGGTGAGCAACTTAGCATCAGAGCGCTCCTGCAAGGAGGGAAAGAAGATCAAATGTCCAGGCTGGCATGTGGGTAGCCAGTGGCTCTGGCTTCAAAGTAGACCCTGAGGCGAACGCGACGGCCGCTCCTTCTACCGCGTTTCCTGTAGCGTTTCTTGGTTAGGAAGAGGTAGGTGGAAGAAGCCGGTCGGAGGGTCCGGTCAGGGCGGGCTGGCGTCGCCCAGATTCCAGCAAGGATCAGCCCGCGACGAATGGGAGAGTCTTAAATTTAAAAGTGTTTGCCTGTCGTATGTAATCAGTGCTCAGCCATTAGATGAGCATACAACTAAAAGGATCAA